TGATCTCAGCGACTTGACGCTGTCAAGGCTCTGTGCAGCGACTATCGACTTTGCTGCGGTCGTCGGGCCTGCAGGGTCCAGTGGAATTGTTGAAGGCTTCAATTTCAGGGGTGGAAGGGAATCATAGTTGGTATGTTCAAAAACCGATTTGTAAACCACCACAAGATTGGGTGTATCATAAAGAATCAGATTAATATCGCCAGAATGCGACAAGAACTGGTGTCATTTGCTTTAGCTTGGAGACACATCTACAATCAGAAAATTTGACTCACCAAGTAGATCAGTCACTGCTTGTCGATTGGTCGTTGCAGGTTGATGTTGAAGGAGACGAGGACCAGTGAACCCAGTGAAGCCCTGCCAAGGAGTATGAAATCCATGCAAAACGAACAGTATTAGAAATCTAGGAATCTAGGGTTTTTTTTCTCTATGTTTGCTATTGAGATCTATTGATCCATTTTAAGGCTAGCCCGACATCCCATTTTCTTTCCGCGGGCTTTGGTTGCCAACCCCTCAGGAGGCTGTTTTCCAGAGCATCGATGAAGAAGATTGGCCACGGATCCGACAGGTGCAGGGCTTTGTCGGTTTGAAAGTGAGGATTGCAGGAGTTGATTTGTGACACATTCTGTTCTTTTTTGGACCTTAGCTTCGGCTGTTGACTTTTTGGATTCCTTGAGCTTCATTGATTGAGTTTGACCGTGAATCATCTCAGTCCCTCATCCAGTTGTTGACATCATCTGCTGATCTCCTAGTGAATGCTCGCCTCTCGACATATGCTCCACAGAGCATCAGAACGGCTATACCCGCTTAAAATCCGACAGCCCAAGAGTTGAGGGTCCTTTTTCATTGACTTTTTCTATTGGATTCCAATTGGATGTGGTATCAATACAGATGTTATCGTCCTGTGATTCTGTTGAAGAGATCTTTGTGGCGGTTTTTTTTAGCGCAGGTGGTGGCCGAAGTGCACGACATCCATGGCCGACTGCATCGCATCCAACAGCTCTTGCGACTGAGCACTGAGAAAACCGACGTGGAGACTGGCGGACTAACTCGATGGGTACATTTTTTATGGTACTTTAATCTTGTGTCATACATCATACATGAGAATATTTACTGGCCTGCTAAAAAAAAAAGTGATATTTTGCAGGGTACAGTGTCGAGAGATTGGCAATGGAAAATGTGGTGACCTCAAGAAGCAATGATGGGATGGGAATAAACACCTCAGCAAGGTTGGGGATTTGGAGAAAAAGTGAACGCATCCAGCAATCATGATATGACCAGCAATGATGTACATACAGCAAAAATGGAGGTATTTGGGGAGCCATGATGGTGACACAGACTAGGGATGTTGGTCATATCTGGGGAGGACACCATTAAACGTTCGAAGTTTGGATTGTTCGAGATTCTTCGACGATTTTCGGGGATGACAATATTTAGCCAGTGGTGTTCATCATACTCTCTGCAGCTGAGTGGATCCAGGAAATGAAAACCACTAAATGAAAGGAAATATACAAACCCTCTAAAGTGTTAGGTAGTTAGGTATGAAATCTACTTGGATTCCCTGACTATCGACTGATCTAGGATCTTTAGTCCTACTGCAGGAAACGGCAACTGAACATGACCCAACAGCTTCTGATATTTCATGACAACACATCCTTTAAGACTTTGACGATGCTGTGTCAGTGCAAAATCCAAAACTAAATTCAAAGATGAAGCCCAAAAGCATATTCCAACTTCCATTGAGACATTTGTGATGCAGATTTGTCCGCGATGGTACGCCATCCCCCTGAACTTCTTGTCGCTACTCGTGGTCCTTTACGCCCTGGCTGCTGCACTGAAGTTCAGCGGAGCGGTGCCGGACCTCAAAGAACGAAGCTTCGTGCTGGCGGTCGTCAGGCCTTTCTCTTGTACAAAATCTGTGGCACCAAGGTCCAGAAAGCTACATCTTAACTCGAGTTTCGACACCCAAACATTGGAAAGGGGATCTGTTGGCATTCACAAACATCTGCAAAGCATCAATCTTTCAAGTCAAAGTTTTGTTCAAAATCCTGAATCCAGGCCATGGACCCTGGTCAACCTCGGATTCATAAGCTTGTTCTGACATTTCATTGGAGTACGGTACCATTTCAGGACCAGATTATCACATATTATCATTATTTGGGCCCCTCCAATTTTTTTAAGCCATCAAAATTATAACATATTAATTACATATTAAAACAATTCCACAGCTGCCTTTGGAAGGTTGGCCTTTTTGTTGGCCCTGCCATTTCTCTTCTTCTCCGTGGTGTCCTCTGTCCGCTGCGTGCAGCGGCTGCCGGCAGATGAGGCGGCCATGCTGCTCTTCAGGTGGGGGATGGGCTACTTGGGGATGTACATATCCATTAACTGTGGTTAATTGTGGTGAACTGTGGTTAAATCTATTTCGATGTTGATTACTGACTATTGATTGATATGGTTTTCCTAAGATGTAGCTGGAGCAACTAATTAACTTCAAAATGTGCCGAAGAATTGGCGCACTATCGGAGATAGGGCCGTCAGCGGATTGGGAAAGATATTAATCTTGTGATGGAGAATTGGGTAATACGGTATGACTGAAAAGCCTAGTTTGCGGCGATCCGACAGTGCGGCATGTTGATTTCCATCCATTGAAATGGTCACGTAAATCAATGGATTCTATGTAAGTAAATGTCAATCTATGTATCATGTTTTGGGGGCCTGGGTTGTTTAAGTAGCTTCATTCCTCCTGCCATAGCTGACTGCGCTGAAAACGCAGCTGTGAGGTACTGGAAGGATTCCACCGACGATCCCGGTACCAAGGAGAAACGTCCCATCCCTGGGATGTATCAATAGGGTTCACTGGGACCCTATGGTCCATGAAGGGAAGGTCATGACCCTTGGCCTGCAATTTTGAGAAGCATTCATCATTGGTAAGCCTCAATCTTGTTGCTTGAAAGTCACCATTCAACTGTAACCAATATCATCCAATATCAATATCTCACATTTTTTCATGAACTTCCGCTCCTCTGGGCCTCACATCTCCAGGAGTTGCCGGAGAAGTTCCAGGGGGTCTTTTGGTTCAGCACCGATCCCTCGCCGGAGCTCTGCATCAACTTCCAGGCTGCGGCCTTCGATGCCGCTACCAGGCCAGGGAATGAAAGCCGATGCGAAGAAATGGATAGAAAAAATCCACCAAACATCTACCAAAACGGGTGAAAAAAGAAGTGAAATTCTTCAGAAGTGATGAGTTTTTGACGGATAAATCATTTGTAAATAGAGATGGGAACTTGGGTGATCCTACTGAACTTACTTTATAGCCAGCAAGTGGGTTGTAAAGCCTGATCAAGCCTCTCGTTGATTGTGAAAGTTGCAAAACTGATGGTTTGGGGTCCATCGTTCCTTCTAGCTCGCTGCTCACTTTTGATTTTGATATGTGTCCCCTATCGCATCAAATGTTGATGCTCTTCCATGTGTCAAGTCGACTTAACCCACCTGACATGGAATGGAGAATGCTCAAAAGTTGGTGATCTTATTCTTTCAGTTGGAGAATCTCTTTCCTCTTTCCCGTCCCTGAAATTCGATATATGTTTCACATCCCTGAGACCACGGTGCCTGGAGGACCATGAAGCTCTATCCCGGCAGCTCATATACATGGGTCTGGTGCGACAGCTGCGTGGGCTGGGCGTTTTACTTGTTCCTCGGATTCATCTGCCGGACAGGATTTTTTTGTAGATGGGTGAGATGTCTAACTGTCCTTAGACCCAAAGAAGATCCGACTAATCATCCTAAATCTGTGCACAGACACCTTTCACTGCATCCCACTGCCGGGCTGTTAGGTTCTTTGCCTTCGTGAACCCCATTTACAGTCTCCAAGTGCGTTGGGAGGAGGGCTATCAGAAGGCCTATTTGCCCAGCATCCTTTTCGGATGCTCGCCACCCGAAGAAGATTCGATATTGACGTATTGTTGGGTTTATAAATTTCGGATAAAGAGCTGGAAAATGTTTGGGCAGAGCTTTGGAACATGGCTGTTTAGACCTCCAAGATTTCATTGTGGCATCAATTGGAGATGGTGAGATGGTAGAGTGCCTGGCATGGCATGACCCTAAATATCGGTTTGTTCATGAGCCTTGGCTTCAAAGCAGGTCGCCCCCATTATCAGGATGTTTCAATATCGACTGGCTCACGTGCTCTGCAATGTACATTGAGCAGATGGATGAAAGCGAATTCGCCCGGACCACCTATGTCCTGGGGCGTCCTTTTAAGCATGGCTCATACTCCCTGAAGAAGGCCGGGCTTGGGACATCCTGTGACGGGGGAACCATGGGCGAAACCACCGGCCAGTGGGGCTGCACCAGGTGGTGGACAAAGATGGACGGCCACTACCTGCCTTCGACGACATGATCTTGTCTCTCAAGGAACTCTGCTGGGGAAGTGATGTGATACGGCAAGCAAAAAAGAGTTGGCAAACAGAATATACAAACTATGTCGATGAATTGTCAAAGAGTTCTAGCAAAGTCCTGACCAAGGAACCAAGATTTGCACTGCTTGTTCTTGAAGTTTAAGCCTATACCCATCACCAGATCCACCTCTGGGCCCTGCAGGAGAAACGAGTGGTCCAAGGATATGTGAAACCATGGGGTCAGTTGGTGCGAGGCAACCTTTGCTGACTTCAACTGTTCCAGGAATCACACTCGTTGGAGAAAAGCGACCGGCGGACACCGACAGAGAGGGGGAGATAAATTGTGACTTTTAACGACTTCTATTTTTCTGGACTTGTTGAAGACAAAAACTAATCTGCATCGTGCGTTTTGGTGCAATGTGCGATCCATTATCTTTAGTCTGTGGTTCCAAACTTCCTTAGACACTGAAACCTTTCTTCTTTCTTTCTTAACCTGGTCCCTCCCAATCCACATGCACATGGGATGTGGAGTGACACGTGTTGATGTACAATCAACTAAGTGACTGTTAGATGACCCCATACCGAATATAGAAGCCATACTGCAGGTCTTTGAACCCTGCCATGGTGAACCATTGCGCTTGCACTGAGGCAGGAGAAAGGCTTTGAGGTCGAAGTGAAACAACAACTTCCGAACGAAGAAGGAGGCACCTTTGTGGGACAAAATCACCACAGTACGTGAACTTCATCACATTCCTGGGCATCCAGTCGCTGAGCAGCCTACCATAAACAGCTGTCACCTTGATGGTCTATTTGGAATTGGCTGCCCTTCCAAAAGACTGGCATTGCACTTTAAATCGGTTTGCACTGAGACCACAAGTTTGGCCGTGAACCAACACAAGCTTTGAGCGATTGGCCATGTGATACCTGTGGGTAGCTGTGCTGAAATCAATTCAAGAACCTCTCAGCGACTGATCCCCTTTGGCAGGTTACTTTGCCTTCGTCCCAGAGTCCTTGCAGCTGTTCCACTTGCGTGCTGCACGGCACAGGGGCATCAAACGTGGAGGCTAGCTTCCATTTTTTTAGGGCTGGTTGGGGTTTGTGCCCAGCTCATGGGAATTCCATCACTTCTAGTTTTGACCTGCCTGCTTGGACCTCGATAATCGGGACTAGGTTTTGAAGCAACTTTTTTGCCTGCATTGATAAAGGGTAACCAGGGTAAACGAACTTAGACATGGGAAACTGGAACTGGTGGTGGTGGCTTGATGGTCCTTTCCCCAGGCGATGGTGAAGCGCCCGAAGAGAAAAGAATGGCCGGACAAGAAAAGATATCCGCGGAGCGGGAAACCTCACGTCAATGAGACAACCCTTGGGCCCTTTACAGATTCAACATTTGCTTGAAATTTAGACAGGACATGCATTATTGACTGTGCATTTGTGTAAATCTATGTAAATTATGATATCATATCATATTGTATGATATTAATGTAAATACGTATGTATACATACATGACTACATGTGTTGTATGTACTGGGTGCATGCCGGGAGTGGCCCATCTGCAAACCAAGGCCGCGTTTGCAGAAGGGGCTCCACTTCGAGAGGCCTGGCACGTGGCTGTCTCTTAAAGATGTCCATGGTGATGGATTGTTACTCAATCACCCTCAAGTAGTGTGACCTAGCGATCGGAAATGTCCATTTACACCGGCTCACCCCGTCTTGATCTATTTGGATGAAAGATGTCACCTCCATGCCAGTCATTAAGTCATGATCCACCAATTTGGGGCGTGCAAGGTTTGATAAACACATCTGGCAGCCAGGCCACTGCGTTTGGCATTTCGAGACAATTCTTCCTCCACACGTCCGGTGTCCGAGGGTCTTGGGAATCACATCTGCCTTCAGATTTTCGCATGAGCTGCCTGAGTTGCCATGAGTTGCTGAAAGGTTAGCGACGGAATATCATCCGAGCGTTGGGATCCGTTCTGAATATGCATGGAACACCATGGAACCAAATGATTCGACTTTACTTCAGGCATTGATCACTGATAAAAAGATGTCGCTAGACACAACATAAATTGTTTCCCAGCGGTAGAAATAGCACTTACAACAGTGTAGCTTTGCTTTGCTGCACTTTTTGAACCAAGCCATCATAGCCATAGGAAAGTTGTTCAGGGTGGTTGCCAAGGCCTTGCGAGTCCTTAGCGCAGCAATCGGATCGTCTCTTTGAAACATTTGAAACGAGGCTGGAGCCCCCAGAGCTTTGTTCAGACAAAGATGTTGCCCCAGCTCTTTGCCCATGTTTTACCAATGATGCCCCACTTGAGAAGAGTGATGTTTCTGCGACAGAGAGTGAGAAAATATTTGCATTCACGGAAAACTGGAGATGTCCTTTGGCTTCCCATGTTTTTGACAGGTATGGCCAACTGTTAAAATCCCATTGTGCTTCTCTTGTGGCAATAGCTACTGGAAATTGGTTCACTCATCCTGCGCAGATATTGGCGCCCGTTGGGCAGCAGCTTAGAAGGACTCCTGGTGGTGGCCACGTGTGGACACCGAGGGTATACCATGGTGAAGTCAGTGGATATGTCCTGATATCAAGTACTACTGTACCTACTTGTACTACCTACTTGTACTACCTAAATCCTGGCTTAGTGCTGGATCTATTGACTTTGGACGTTATTGGGCGTTGTTTTGTATTAGAACATGGGATATCATGGGAGTAGTGTTGCAATCGCTTTACTCTTCAAAAATGAAGCATCGAAAACAACTTTCTGAGTCTTTTGGAAAAGCGATTCCGAAACCTTGTCTTGGGTTTGATTCAATTTGAAGTCATGTGGGGTTGACTGGAATCTTGAAGGGCTCCAATTTATTGGCAAAACAATAATTTGGGGAAAGCATGGCCAGATCCTTTACTTGAGGATGTCGGCATGGTTTTGACAGGCCGCAGGTGTAGGTTTAATGCCAGCTTTCCAAGCATACTTTCACCCTGAAGTCGATGGTTCGGGCATCAACCTCCATCAGCTGTTGGTTTCAGTCAAGATGATGTCATGAAATCAAAGCTACAGTAAAGCTATTTTCAGTTTTCTGAAAAGTCTTCGACCACTGAGGACCTACTACAGCTTCTTGCGTTTGAGGAGATTCTTGCGTGAGGACCGCCAATTAACTTTTTCCAGACATGTGATTTATCCTAGGTTGGACATTACAGCAATTGTCCAGTTGGGTTTGATGGAAAAGCGTGTGAAGGTTCAACCTTCTGCATATCATCAGTTCTCCCCATGCAATAAAAGTACTTTGATGACCATACCATCAGTACCTCACAGTCTCTCAGTGTTGCAGGAGGGAGCGAGTTTCAGTTCCATCTTCGAATACTCCACACCGAAGGACAGCTGCCAAGTTTGGTTTCAGGCTGTTACTGCAAGTGGTGAAAAGGCAGTGATAGGATTTCAGAACGAGCAACCCAAGATTAGACCGAAATGTCCCACGCTTGTCACTGCAACCGTTGGCATGATGTGGATGGAACCCTTAAAATATTCGACAAGTGGTCAGAGTCATCTTGTTGAAACTGTATTAGAGAATCCTGGATTTTACCAGGTGGACCTGGTCTCCTGGTCTAAAGCTCACCAGTATGCCAGTGCCCACAAGGCCGTGGGCCACGCGCGACAACACTTCTTCCAGAATGAGCGGCGGCTGCTCCTGGTGACGGAGTCCGGTGGCTTGAGGTTCTCACGATGGCGTTTGCTCCTGACACAGGGGGATGTTTCACAACAGTTCTGTGTTTCAGGATGACAGAACAAGCAGTTTACCAAAAAAAGTGCAGACATGTGTTCACTTATTTTCCCGTTCCCCCTCTGCGGTGTCCATGATCTAAAGAGAGTCTTGACAGGGCTCAAGGACGTTCAAGGGCTTGTCTGGGAGTTGTCCTCAGAACGAAGAAGTATTCCTAGTCTTTGAGAGGATCCTGACAGCCGAGGCGCTTCTTGTGGTACCGACGGTTTCGATTGAAAGGCAGCGGGCACGTGTTTTGGAAGTTGCCAGTCTGGCCTGTTGATGGAACTGGATTTTGACAGCTCTCATGCTTAAACCATGCAGTCCTGACGCATTGTGGGTATTGTGGGTACTTTGACTCAGGGCTCTCTGTTGGCACAATTTGGGATAGACCATGAGCAAGAGGACGTGATGCACAAAAGTGAGGATGAATCGTGAAGGTCTTGAATCAACTCACGGCAAAGCGGCCATGGCCCATCCACCAAGATTCACCGGGCCCAAAACTTTGGCTGCAGGTGCAAATTATGTACTTTTCTACGGTGTGCCACAAACAGCCGAGATTTATGAGGAGGCGACACCTGTAGCAAGGGTTGACTCAGGCACAGGTCACATGGGTACGCTTTCTAGCTGTGAATGGCGACATCTTGGCTGGGTGTAGATGTTGAGGGATTGCCAAAACAAAATAGGGTCTTGCTGTATCATGAAAGTTTTCTTTCACAACCGGAAATCTGAAGGGTTTGGATCATTGTCAACCGTTGTCAGCTCAGCTGATTTGAGGTGATTCTGCAGTTAGCCCCGTCACACAGGTGGAACAGGTGTAATTTTCCAAAACGCAAGCTTGCTAGGTCAGTGGAGGAACCTTAGATCAGACCCAAGTCACAGATCTGGTGGGCCCCAATTTTTTCAATATATTTAGCTGCAAAGTTTCAATACATGGTTTAGCTATGTTTAGCAAAGAAAAAAGTCACTCCCGGTACTCCCGGGATACCCTCACAGCCACAGCAGCTACTCTGTTCAGGTCTTGGGAGCCGTTCGCATCCCATCGCAGTGTAACTCCATGTGCCTCTTCACAAAGCACGATGCGTGCGGCTCCCAGATCCAGCAACTGATTCCTACTGGCTGGCTCCCATATCCTATCGTTCCTATACTTTCCTATGATCCATGATTGAAATTGATGATGATGATCATGATCATGGTGATCATCATGGTGATGTGGCGGTGCTGAAACCAGTAGGCTGATGCTTTGGGGATGGGCTGAAACTAAGAAACTGCACCAGACAGGTTCTGGTGGCGCACAACATACTGTCATCTTCTTCACACGAAGGCTTAGGTTGCAATCATGTCAGAAGGACAGCAAAGTCTCTGTTTGGATGCCGTGAAGTCACTGAGTCTCTGAGGTTTGCATTGGAGCGAATTGTAGGACATGAGCGAGCAAAGAATATGTTTGGCTCCCAGATTTGGATCCGGAAAAGTCTCCAGGGAAGTCATCAAAACAGAACACACACGATGATAAACTGCAAAAACTCAAGCATTGGAATTGGACAGTTTCCCATGCTTTCCCTTGATGCTTCCCATCCTGATCGGCTTTTTTGTAGCTCATCCCATGAACACAGCATCGCTTCAGGCTGACCTCCACTCCGGGCAAAGTTTTCGTAATATCCTGAGAGGATCCAGCAGTGGCAACTGGAGCACCTATGCTGAGTCACGGTGACCCATAGCAAATTTTGGTGAGTCAAGTTTTGACACAAGTTGCCCTTTCTATTTCCACCTGTTGACATTGAAGCCCCCTACCCTCCCGCCGAGGTCTACTCGTGAAGTGGAGACTCGCAGAGCATGGGCCTCCAACACGGAGGTCTTTGACAAATCGCAGAACCATCATAGAAAATATCCCACTTTGATCCACTTTGCGGGGAAAGGATTGAGGAAATGATACCCACTGTTTGGAAAGAACGGTTGGGTTTGTGTGGTTCCTACAGGGTTTCCCAAGAATGCGTGAAGGCTGACTGTTGCGACAGCTCCGCAGCTGTATTTTCAGTTGGGATACAGTAGAAGAAAAGACGGTGCACATCGCAAAGCAGACAACATCTTGAAGTCACTGAGTAGACGTGCGTTATTTTTCCAGCGTGCCGGTGCATGGCTTGATTCATGCACATAAGGACAACTTGTCTCACTTCACTTTGTCGACAGATTACATTGAACCCAAACCTAATCCTACAAAATGCTGCAATGGTAAGACGGTAAGACTGACTGTCTCTATGATGCTGCTAAACTACCATGTGGCCGGCTGGGGTTTTGCGCCATGAGGTGGCGCGCGACAATGGATCCTGCACAACCGAGACCAAGACATCAAAGATCTTGGACCTTAACCTGGTAAAAGGATGTAAAAGGTATTGTTTTGAAAGAAAGCTTTCGATGACACCAAAGCCCTCGAATTTTGGGTGAAGAATCCTTTCCCCAGCCGACACCAGGCCCGCGCCAAAGTTGCACCAGTGGTTGATTTGCGCGTGGCACTCCAGGTGTGGAGAATGCCATTCCGAATGTGCGGGGTCAATCCCAAAACAAGTTTGTGAAGGGAAAGTACTTGTTTTGATATGAATCTGTGTCATGTTGGATTTCTCAAGCAAGTTCATTGCATTCCACCAGGCAGATGCCGGCCATTGGACCTCCATAGACGCACCAGTGGTGCTCTCATCTTGCTTAGCACCTGGGCAATCCTTCGGCTGGAAGAAGCTGAATGTGACTGGTCAGGATGGGACTCGAAAACTGGAAGGCAGTGACCCAGTGGAATCATGCAAAATGAACACATACACTTGGTTTCATTATCCGGCCTGCTGTTGGAGCTGTTGGTGACCGGTGGGGATGGCGACATGTTTGGTTTGCAATGCTCTTTGCTCAAGCAGCTGCCCCTTCACATGTCCATTTGCAGATCCCAGGATAGAGTGCTATTTGAGTTGGGAAAACCCCAAGATCCACAAAAAGGGTACCACACTCATCCAAAAATCGTAGGTTTTCGCTTGACTGGTGAGGACGCATTCCTTGGCGTTCTGAACATGTCAGCCGTAATATTTGTGCAGAGGGAGAAGGGCATCCAATGGCAGACCTTGGCAGGTGCAGCATGTTCCAATCCGTCGCCGCGCCCATGTCATGTGGGTGATAATTTTGAGCTCCTCCAATGTATACCTGGTTCTCTGATCGTCTTAGTGCTTCAGTCAATATGCTGGAAGCTTACCCTCAGAACACCAGTGTCACTCATGTTGGAAGGCCCAGAGGTGACGCAGGAAACAGTGCAGAAGTTCTTCGCCTTGGATGACGCTTGGCTTGACTACCGAAAATTGTCATTCCACAGTTCGCTTAATGTGGTCCCATGCTTTGGGTGATGAGGGTCATTCAATTTCACGCTGTATGTTGTTAAAACCTTTTGGTATGGAGTATGCTTTGGGTCCAGGCAGATGTTTGTTGAAAGACACTCATCTTCCATGATTTTTGTCACTGGTCCAATTCGGTTGAAGATCGGAAAAGAGCCCTTTGCAAATCAAAGTGCCAGTTCCGCAGGATGGCTTGCGCGAAACCGCCGAGCGTCTTCGCATCGCCTGGGCCAAAAGATGCCCACGGCTGGCGCAAGTTGCGCAGTCTAGCCCTTGGCCTTTGAAATCGGATTGGAATGGAATGCTAGCAATGAGTAGAGGATCTGATCTATTGGGTGTTGAGTTGCCTGTGGGCTTGCTTGTTGTTCCATCGACAAGTCTTGATGATCTGTGCCGCAATCCGACAAACGCCCAAACTGTCATTCATTGGTTTATGATACGCCGTTCTTTGGCGAGGTCCTTGCCAGGGCTTTGCGTCTTGCAGCAGGATATGGTGCCTGGCGCAAGTTGTTGCCGTTTTTGGTGACAATCCTTGAATATGTCAAGTGAGGGAAGCGTCACAATATGTTCCCTGCATTGTAAAGGTTCATCCGATAGATGCCTCGCTGGGACTTGCTTCATCTTGTCCGCTGAGTCAGTTAGCCTTGAGGTATTCCAGTCTTCTAATTGCAGCAAAGTGTTCACACGCATCATGGCTCACAGTCAAACCTCCAGCACACTTGGTTTCCCCTTTGGCCTAAAACATTAGCTAGTTAAGGAGTGCTTGTGGAAGCTTACATGTCAAGTGATGCCGGTGTTCCTAGTAAAAATATAATTCTGAGCTTGCTCCAATGGGGCAACTTTGTCAGGGGCCGCGCTTGCAACTGGCAAGGTGGAGACGATCTTTGGATTTATTTGCTCGCAGAACAACAATGTGTTTCTTGGCAAACTGCCGCTATTGGGCACATCGTGAGGGAGCGTGGCAGTAGCACATGGATCGCAACTGAGGTAGTCAGGTTCTGCATCATTGTGATTTAAGTAGCGCAGCATTTGGAGCAATACATGAAGTGTACAAGAGGATCCCGCAGCACCGTAAACCGGAAACAAAAGCTATGGTTTTCATAGGTCAGAGCTACAAAGTGGCAGTTGCTTCACCTGCAGCGGTTTCATGCCTGCCCAGGTCACGCATTTGCTTGTTGATGGATCGGCTGCGCGCCAAGTTCGGCCAAGTGTTGTGCAGTATAGCTGCAGGCGTCGATGCACAAGCTGATGGAGGTCCGGTAAAGATGGACGGACCAGTAGACTGGTTGATATGTGACCGTCAGAATGTGTCAGACGTATCCCTGGTGTATAGCTCTCTATGAAGTGGACATCCTTTGCGCTTATAAAGTGGCCTTCCGGTCGCCACTTTATACACCGACCATGGGGGATAAAGCCGTGTTTTGCGCAAGAAACATGCCCTTGGACCTGGAAGATGACTTTATACAACCTTGGCTTTCCAGTTTATACCCGGCTGGTTTCCCACAAGGAAACGACTCAATATATGCGGCAAAGCATTTTATAGACCGTTGGTTCCCTTCAAAGAATGGCCATAACATGCCACACCATCCACTTCAGAGAAACATGTCTCCCCAATGACTTCGAGCGAACATTTTTCTGTTGGAGCTTTATACATGGCAAAGCACTTTATAGAGTGAAAATTGCCACGTCTTTGTTTGTCCAATCCTGCAGTATGTATCAGTATGTAAGATTTCAGTGGTCCAACCAACATCGATGAAGTTTTTTTTCAGAGAATGCCTCTATAAAGTGGCCAGTCCAGGTAAAACCCCTGAAAAAAACACAATCGATGTTGGACTGGCCACTTTATACCCGCTCCATCCCGCTCCCCCGAGCAGAGAATGCCTCTATAAAGTGGCCAGCCCAGGTAAAAACCCTGAAAAAATCACAATCGATGTTGGACTGGCCACTTTATACCCGCTCCATCCCCCTCCCCCGAGCAGAGAATGCCTCTATAAAGTGGCCAGTCCAGGTAAAACACCTGAAAAAACCACAATCGATGTTGGACTGGCCGCTTTATACCCGCTCCATCCCGCTCCCCCGAGCAGAGTATAAAGTGGCCAGTCCAAGTAAAACTCCTGAAAAAACCACAATCGATGTTGGACTGGCCACTTTATACCCGCTCCATCCCATTCCCCCGAGCAGAGAATGCCTCTATAAAGTAGCCAGTCCAGGAAAAATCCCTGAAAAAACCACAATCGATGTTGGACTGGCCACTTTATACCCACTCCATCCCGCTCCCCCGAGCAGAGAATGCCTCTATAAAGTGGCCAGTCCAGGTAAAACACCTGAAAAAACCACAATCGATGTTGGACTGGCCACTTTATACCCGCTCCATCCCCCTCCCCCGAGCAGAGAATGCCTCTATAAAGTGGCCAGTCCAAGTAAAACACCTGAAAAAACCACAATCGATGTTGGACTGGCTACTTTATACCCGCTCCATCCCGCTCCCCCGAGCAGAGAGTGCCTCTATAAAGTGGCCAGTCCAGGTAAAACCCTTGAAACTAGACGACGGTTGGCCCGAGAGCGAAAAAGATGTTTTTCAAGCAGCTCTGAGTATGGTAGTCGTAAAAAATAGTCGGTGAATGGCTGGTGAATTTTATTTGAGCTATGGAGGGATAAGGTGTGAAAAGTAAGATTGATTAAGAAGAGGATACTTGTGACAACCCATGCATATGCATTGTGCTGCTTGGTAAAGGGCATCAGATGACACGTGTCTTGCAACCACAGAGAGACATAGATAGAGAGAAAGGGGGAGAGAGAGAGAGAGCGAGAGAGAGAGAGAGAGAGGGAGAGAGAGAGAAAGAGGGAGAGAGAGTTTGAGAGAAAGAAAGGGAGATAGAAAGAAAACATGAAGAAATATAATGTGAGCAACAAAAGTGCACAGGAGGCTCGGTACCATGATGCTGCGAATGACATGTGTTAATTCCCACACACATTGCCGAAAAAGCTCGGTACCATCATTCCGTGGATGTCCAGAAACGAGACGCTTTTATACAGAGACGCTTTTACACACAGAAGCCTTTACACACAGACGCTTTTACCCACAGAAGCTTTTACACACAGAGGCTTTTACCCACAGAAGCCTTTACACACAGAGGCTTTTACACACAGAAGCTTTTACACACAGAGGCTTTTACACACAGACTCCTTTACACACAGAGGCTTTTACACACAGACTCCTTTACACACAGACGCTTGCTTTTACACACAGAGGCTTTTACACACCGACTCCTTTACACACAGACGCTTTTACACACAGACGCCTTTACATACAGACCCTTTTACACACAGACCCTTTTACACACAGACCCTTTTACACACAGACGCTTTTACACACAGACACTTTTACACATAAAGGCTTTTACACACAGAAGCTTTTACACACAGACACTTTTACATACAGACGTTTTTACACACAGACCCTTTTACACACAGACACATTTACACGCAGAAGCTTTTACACATAAAGGCTTTTACACACAGAAGCTTTTACACACAGACACTTTTACATACAGACGTTTTTACACACAGACCCTTTTACACACAGACACATTTACACGCAGAAGCTTTTACACCAAGACGCTTTTCCACACAGAAGCTTTTACACACAGACTCTTGTACACACAGACGCTCTTACACACAAAACCCGTTACACACAGGCGCTTTTACAGGCCGACGCTTTTACAACACATACCAACACGAAATGATGCTTTGAAATCGCAGTGAAACGTCGTGGCTCAGAAGTGCCAACCTTAGTGCATAGCACAGCGCTGGACACATTCCGGTAATTTGATTTACTCCAAGACCAAAAACATCCATCAAAAACCCATTCCGGTACCAAACTGGCGCAAGAGCCACCTCGGAAATTTCAGATTGCACGATCATGCATATAGTTGTTCACTCGTACCAAGATGAGATCGTCTGTCATCGAGTTAGATCACACAAAAACATGTAGATCAACACTTTTCAACTGTACAGACAGACAGCAGCTGGCTACTGATTTTGCAGGTTCGCCACGAACAGTTTCTCCAGACGAACAGTGGTGCAAATTAATTTCCGTCCGCCGCACTCAGTTCCATGTGCCACTCGGTACGCAAACCTTCCAGCTTCCACAAAGCCTCCAAGACATAGGGGCGATTGTGCCAAGGGCGCAAGGAAGGTCTTTTCTCAAGCAGCAACTGGACGGCATCCTCTGCAGAGTAGTTGTAACCCACGACGAGCCAAGCACATAAAGCCCCAGCGCTTCGATTGATGCCTCCAAAGCAATGGAAGAGCACGTGCATGGATTCGCCCCTGGTCACTGCCAGCATCGATTGTTTCCAGAGTTGGCCACAAACAATTTTCCACTGCTCCAAGTAAGAAGCTTCCAGACACTTTTACGCACAGACCCTTTTACACACAGACCCTTTTACACACAGACGCTTTTATACACAGACACTTTTACACACAGAAACTTTCACACACAGACGCTTTTACTTTGCAACACTTTTCACGCACAGATGCTTTTACACACAGAAGCTTTTGCACACAAACACTTTCACACACAGAGACCGGACCCGTGAAATCGCAATTTTACCTCAGTTTTTGGCGATCGAACCTCATTTCGCGTGTAAGGGTTGCGATTGACACCTCAAAATCGCAATTTTACCGCAGTTTTTGACGTCCAATGTCCATGTCGCGTGTAAGGGTTACGATTGACACCTCAAAGTCGCAATTTACTTCAGTTTTTGCCGTCCAACGTCCATTTCGTGCGAAAGGGTTGCGATGGATACTTCAAAATCGCAATTTTACTTCAGTTTTTGACGTCCAACGTCCATTTCGCGTGTAAGGGTTGCGATGGATACTTCAAAATCGCAATTTTACTTCAGTTTTTGACGTCCAACGTCCATTTCGCGTGAAAGGGTTGCGATGGATACTTCAAAATCGCAATTTTACTTCAGTTTTTCACGTCCAACGTCCATTTCGTGCGAAAAGGTTGCGATGGACTAATTAAAATCATAATTTTACTCCAGTTTTTGACGTCCAACGTCCATTTCGTGCGAAACGGTTGCGATGGACACCTCAAAATCGCAATTTTACTTCAGTTTTTGCCGTCCAACGTCCATTTCGTGCGAAAGGGTTGCGATGGATACTTCAAAATCGCAATTTTTTTCCCCACATTGACGTGTGGGGTTTTTGTTTTTAGTTCTGTATCCGCCTCCCGCCGCCGCACTCCTCCCGTCCCCTCACTCACACTCACTCACACTCACTCACTCACTCACTCACTCATTCACTCACACTCACTCTCACTCACTCACTCACTCACTCTCTCTCACTCACTCACTCACACACTCACTCACTCACTCACACTCACTCACTCACTCACACTCACTCACTCACTCACACTCACTCACTCACTCACACACTCACTCACTGCACAATGTGAGCAGCCAAGGGGTCGGATGTACGCCCTGGCGTCCCTCGGGCTCCGCGTCTTTTGCGTGGCAGGCGTGGGACAATGTCCACTGCCAAGGGGTCGGATGTACGCCCTGGCGTCCCTCGGGCTCCGCGTCTTTTGCGTGGCAGGCATGAGACAATGTGCACTGCCAAGGGGTCGGATGTACGCCCTGGCGTCCCTCGGGCTCCGCGTCTTTTGCGTGGCAGGCGTGGGACAATGTGAGCAGCCAAGGGGTCGGATGTACGCCCTGGCGTCCCTCGGGCTCCGCGGCTTTTGCGTGGCAGGCGTGGGACAATGTGAGCAGCCAAGGGGTCGGATGTACGCCCTGGCGTCCCTCGGGCTCCGCCTCTTTTGCGCGGCAGGCGTGGGACAATGTGCGCTGCCAAGGGGTCGGATGTACGCCCTGGCGTCCCTCGGGCTCCGCCTCTTTTGCGTGCCAGGCGTGGGACAATGTGCACTGCCAAGGGGTCGGATGTACGCCCTGGCGTCCCTCGGGCTCTGCCTCTTTTGCGTGGCAGGCGTGGGACAATGTGCATTGCTGGTGGCTTTTGCGGGGCAGGTGTGGGACACTGTGCTCACACTCATTCACACTCACTCATTCACTTTTACTTCTTTTGAATCACTGACTCATTCACTGAAATCACTCATACCCACTCACGCACTCACACCACTCACTCAATCACTCAATAACTCACTCACACCCAGTCACCTTCACACCCTCACTCACTCACTCACTCACTCACACACTTGCTCAGAAATATCTTATCGAATTACTGTTGTGGAGTGCATCGGGCGTGCACAAACAATCCCCTAAAGTCTGACAGGAAAATTGGATGACTTGGCGAGAAAACCATTGTAGAAGAATTC